AGGAGTTCCTACTGTGGCCTATCAGACTGAATTTGGAAAAGCATTAAGCAGCCAGAAGAGCCATGCAATCACTGGTTCCCTGTGTTACAATCACATCAGCACTAGACGATTCTAGATCAAGTCCCACAGGACTGAATTTTTGTGTGTAACTGACAGGCTGCCTGTGCAAATGTACCTCATGTACCTCAGTGCCCCTGTAGGTACATGAGTAACTGATAAAGGAGGAGATCTTGCACCTAAATCTGAGTCCTGCTCCCTCATCCCTAAAATGCCTTTTGTCTCCCTCTTCCTGGGTCTTCCTGGAGGGTTTATTTTCTAACTACACTTCAGGGGACACGGGCTAGCCATGTGAACACACAGAACCTGAGCTTTCTTACCCCAGTAAGGCAGGTTCCTCTGGAAAATTTATCTCTGTTTTTGGTTCAGCTGATGCCATACTCATAGCAGAAACCCTGCAAAATCACACAACACTGCCATCTGTGCAGGCACAAGCCCTCTTGCCAAATGTCTGTCACTGAGATGATACAGGAAGAAAACAGTTATATTTTCTTGCCAAAACACGCACACACCCTACATCTATGCAGACAATTGTGCAATTATCTGATGGCTGGTGAGTGCTCCATGCCAGACCATTTAAGTTGAAATGCACATGGTAAATGTCTGGACACCTAATGCTCTGCTCCATGCTGATGCCAGGAGTTGCACTGTGTGTGTGTTTGGTGAGGGAAGAAGAGGAGGGTTGCCAGACGAGCTAAAAAGGTGCCATCAAAACTAGTTAGAGCTCAGCTCTGATGCCTCTTTCCATCTCTGCCTGCTTCTTCTAGAGCACAGGCAGTTCCTCATGCAGAGTTCCCTGCTGCTCATAATGCAAGTCAGCAGTCACCTTCTCAGTGGCACTACCTCAGAAAAAACAACATCTGTATTCATTCTCCTTCTATGGAGGCAAAATACTAATCTTCCCTCACAACTACTGTCAATAAAGAAGATAAAGATATCTGCAGTATCTGGAGGTTCCTAAAATCCACAGATTTTGCTCATCTTCAACTGTCTCTTATTGAATTTTGTGCTAGCACATGCAGCAAAGACACTGACACACACCACAGGCTCCTGGCAGATCCCACTGTTGCTCAGCAAGAACAAGGATTTTAGATGCTCTTTAGAGGCACCCAGCTCTCACTGGGTGAGCCAGAACACATTTCCTGCTGGCCTGCAAACATCAGGGGCCTGATGCAGCACCAGTGTGGTCTGATCAATTTCTGGTCTGCTGAATAGTTTCATCACCACTTTTTACAACTGTGTAAACAGACCTGTCTCCAGAAGGGGCTCCAGACCCATGAGACTGAGCACAGATGCTGTGGAGAGGTGACCCCCACAGCAGATGGCATGGCAGAGGAGGATGCAGCCTAACTCTCCATTTTTGTAGCATGGGCAATGTTTTTCTACTTAATCATTTCTTCCTGCGACCCTTTGCACATGAGAACTTCTGGCCACCCTGAGCCTTCAGGTGTCCTTCACCAAGGTCCAGACACACAGAAATCTCCTTCCAAAAGCAGATGAATGGCATAATCTTGTATGACAGAGTTAATGGTTCCATGGCTAGTGGCATCCTATCTCCTCAGCGCTCAATGCTTCTGCTGCTTTTCCTGAGTTACACATTTAAAGCATGGTTTTCTCCAGTCCTGTTTCATTTACAATTTTGCATGGTGTGGTGGTTTAAAAATAGCTTGGAATGAAACTCCAAATAAGGTGTTCCTGTTCCCCCTACTCCTATTCCAGTGAGAGAGGGACAAATGTTGAGATAACAATGGTTGAGATAAAAATTTACTGAAAACAAATGGCAATGAAATAAGAAACACAGAAAAACAGAGCAATACTAGTAACAAAAGTATGCCAAAGAGAAGGTTCTTTACACACAAGAGATGTTTGCTACCTCAACTCAACATGCTTGGCTGCTGAGACAAAGACAAGATGGCAGATGCTCTCCCCAGACGGCATTCTCAGTCCCCGAGCACAAGACAGTGAATAAAAATTATGGAAAAACCTCCCAAAAGCTGGAATAATCTGTGTTGTGCCACCTAATTTTGACTGCTGGGCTCAACTCTGCTTAGTAGCATCAGCTTGTCTTGGGTCTTCTCTGCTTGGTTGGCTTGGCTGGGCTCAGGCTCAGGCTCAGGCTCAGGCTCAGGCTCAGGCTCAGGCTCAGGCTCAGACTCAGGCTCAGGCTCAGGCTCAGGCTCAGTTTTATTCCCCATGGTTCTTCCCACACGGTCACCATGGTGCTCTGCTGGGCTCAGCTGTGCTTGCTGCTTGGAGTTGTATTCTTTCTGAGGGACGGGAAGGGACAGGCAGTAGCAGGAGAGGGACAAAGTCTGCTGTGGTGGTCCCTGAGGAAAGAAATGGAACTAAACAGTGCTGCTTCTGCAGTGTGTTCGCTTTTTCTACCCCCGAAGCCACAGCCCAGCGATGATGGGGGTGGTACAGAACAGCAGCCCAGCCGTGCCTGCATGGCCACAGGCTCCACTGCTCCTCAGCCTCCACAAGCAAAACTAGGAGACGTGGTGACAAGTGTAACTAAAAGTTATTGCTAGTACATTAGGAGTTTTCAGGTGAATAATCATAGAGTCATATAAATGTTTGGGTTGGAAGGGACCTTGGAGATCATCTAGTTCCAGCTCTCTGCCACAAATGGGTACCTTGCGCTGGACCCCATCCAAAACCCAACTAACCTGGCCTTTGACACTTCCAGAGATGGAGCATCCACAGCTTCTGTGCTGTGGATAACCTGTGCCAGTGTCTCACCATCCTCACAGCAAAGGATTTCTTCCTAATATCTAAACTAACCTCACCCTGGTTAAAAGGTTTTCCCTTTCCCCTTTTTGGTTAAAAGGCATTTCCCCTTATCCTATCACTTCATGCCCTTGGAAAAAGTTCCTCTGCACCTTTCTATTAGAACCTCTTTAGGTACTGGAAGATACCTATGAAATCTCCACAGAGCCTTCTCCTCTCCAGGCTGAACAGCCCCAGACATTCTGTTCTTGTAGAAAGGTTCTGTTCTTGTAGAAAGGCTCCAGCCTTCTGGTCATTGTCATGGCTCCTTCCTGGATTTGCTCCATGAGGTCCACATCTTTCTTATGTTGGGGAGCCCAGAGCTGGATGCAGTGTTCCGGGTGGGCTCTCCCCAGAGCAGAGCAGAGGGGCAGAATCCCCTCCCTGCCCTGCTGCCCACGCTGCTCTGGATGCAGCCCAGGGCACGTTTGGCTCTCTGGGCTGGGAGTGCCCCTGGCTGGGTCATGCCCAGCCTCTCCCCCACCAGCACCCCCCAGTCCTGCTCACAGGGCTGCTCTCCATCCGTTCTCTTCCCAGCCTGCATTTGTCCTTGGGATTGCCCCAGTCCAGGTGCAGCACCTTGTTCTTGGCCTTGTTCAACTTCATGCATCAGCCCACACTCAGGTGTCCCTTCCCTCCAGAGTGTCACCACACCACACAGCTCAGTGTTTTTAGCAAACTTACTGAGGGTTCTCTCAATCCCACTCTCCACATCACTGACAAAAACGTTAAACTGCATCAGTAGAAATATCTGTCCCTGATAAACCATACTCACATCATGCTACATGCAGGATTTTGTCTTAAAGCTCCTCCAGGGGTCATTTCCTTCTAGTTTTTTAGAGAAGCAGCAAAGTAAGCATCTCATATGCTGCCAGCATGTGCTCACTGCTGCTGGTTATCCAGCCATTTCACTGGCTGTGGGAGCACAGCAGTTCTTCAAGTGGCAATCTAAGTTAATCAGTGTACAAAGTGAAAAGTGAAAGTAGCTGACGTACCAGAATTTTGCCAATTTACTTACCTGAATCTGCATTAAACACCTTAACCATTAACCACCCGCTGCATACTCACTTTTACACCAACAGAAGCTCATTACCTTCTACCTCTGTGAAGACAGTTTAATCCAAGCTATAAAGATTAATCCAACAGGTTTACTGTGCATATGTAACTTCCATGTCTCTTCATCCAAAAGTCTTCCTTTCTTCCTTCCACTTGTTACTGGGAAAACAGCAGGAACTTTGACAGGATTCTTTTTACATGTTTTATGAGCACAGTCCATCTGCTAGCACCAAGCATCAATAATGGATTTTTTTTGGCAGAATTTGCCAGGTGATGGAAATGCATTCCCAGAATACCTGGTGAAAAGCATGTTCGTCTATACCTCACCCATGATGTCACTTACCTCTTACTGTCCTGCACTATCCTGCATTGATGACCTAAAAACAATACTCATTGCTGTTCCCTAGATACCACTTTTCAGAGGGATTTGGCTTTTTCCTTTTTCTCATATTCCTTTGGCAGAACTCTAAACATTGACCTTTTTCCAATTGGGATCTTTCACTTTCATAATATAGGGGCTTTATTAGCTTTAGTTTTCTGGTCTTTTCATTTTAAAACCTCTTGAACAGAAAAACTTTACATCTGACAAGCCTGCCTTAAAAGATGCATATTCTTGGATTCACACTTTATTCTAAATGAACTTTAAAACGAAACAATGTGGAAAGCAGACCTTACTGCTGAAATTCTGCATGCAAATAAATAATTTCAGGCCAAATTGTGCCTTGGAATTGAGGTTCAGGAAAATGACTTCCAAAAGGCTCTCCAAAATGGCTCTAAGAATGTAGGCTTTCAGTCCTACTATATTGAGATTAAATAAATACATGGTTTAAGTCAAGCTTGCTTTTAAGTACATTCCTGAGCAGGGAAGGACATACTTAAGCAATTGTTTAACTGTTTTCCTGAAACACAACCCCAGAAGTTAGGAATGTATGACAGCAACTATTTCTTGGTCAGCTGACTTAGACTCTGCTAATCAAAATGCAGCACAGGTGCATGGGAACTCCCCAGCTATGCAGATACTCACACTTGAAAAACATGAGACACAGCTTGTGCTTTTTTTATACAACATGATTTGAAATGCCTCATAAATTGTTTTCACTTGATTAAAGAAAAGAGTCAACTTTGCAGAAAACAATTTATTAAATACATAAGACTTGGTTGCTACACCTAATTACAGACAAAATACTGTGAATAAAGCATGCACTTACCACAGACATCAATGACTATTTTGATTTATTTTAAATGGTCTTTATTTCTGTAAGTTAAGGCTGTACCAATACAAATTTTAAAAATCAAAAATACAAAGTCACACTACAATAGTAGCAAACATTGTACAGACACTGAAACCAATCTCTAATGCAGCAGAATCAGACTTCTTAAAGATTATCGTGAGAGAACAAAAATGGAGGTGAAGTGCAATAAAGATCTGAATATCTCTGGAATTTACAGACCAGTAACAGTGAATGTCATACTCCAATTAGCACAAACAGAATTCATTATTTTCAGAAGCCTAACTATCTGAGAACTAAGCAGGAGAGAAAACTCATAAATACTACCTTAAAAAAAACCCTCTTGGTCTTTATTTTCTTCTTATTGAGGGCACTTCTGTACTCAAATACTTAAAGAATATTTTTCAAGACATTGTGGCAGACAACAGTACAATACACATTTGTTCACTCTATCCCCATTAACAAACAGTGGAGTGTCTTGAAGAAGAAAAATACATCACAACAACAACAACAACAAAAAATTTAACTGACACAAGTGACAGACAACATTGTTGACCATATCGATCTTCACCAGTGAAGGAGCTTACCATGTATGAAGTTTGCTACTTAAAAATGTGCTGCAGGCATGGCAATATGACATTCACATGGGTCAAAACTTATCCAGTTGATGAGTAAAAGAATTACCAGCCATGGAAACACCACTGGGGACCTGAGGTTCAAAGTGGGTTATGAAATCCTTCTTCGTTTACAGCCACAAAACCTTTTTGCTTGTTTTTTTCCTGATGCTGTGCAAGCACAGAAATAGGGTAATTTGAGGACAACGGGGCCAAACAGTTAATTGAAAATGGACTAATTGAAAAACTTGACAATGTTACTCATATTTTCAGAAAATGATCCAGTAATCTCCCCCTTCCCCCCAGATTTCTAGATTTGCAGAGCTTAATGCATTAAATGCATCAAAATATTACTTCTCCCTAGTAAATTTCTGTTCATTTAATCTCACAAATCCCAGAACAAGGGATCTGTGTAAGAAGGTGCCCTGTGTACAGGCAACTGCATTCAGAGTTGATGATGATGATACACAGCACTCCTCATGCTAAAATCTCTGCCTTAAATAGCTGATTACAGCTGGGGCTTGCAAGGGGGTCTAAAAAAAGCTAGGTCCCAAATTTCACTGGGGTTTGGATAGATAATTCTTTCCTGGATCCTTTCAGCAGCATAGGCTAAGCTATATTTAAAAGGAAAAAGGAAAGCTGGTCCTGCAATATAATGCACATCAGACAAAATGCAATTACAGGACTGACAGTATGTACACAGAAGGAATCACTGTGATTGGAAGGTGGTATCTAAATGAGCACACCATTAATATAATCTAATCTGCATCTTGAAACTGATTAATTGTGGTGAAAAGCAAGTAAATTCAACTAGAGACTCACATGCCATAGGCAGCAGGCTAGATCAGGTCTGCACCTATAGAACTCTTACTGCATTTCCAGTGTGCAACCTGGAAATAAAGTATGTTGATGGCTTTTTTGACTCAAATCTAAGCTGGAGATAATGCAGATATTCCTAGCTTCACTATGGAAAATAAGAAGATGGGAAAAAAACAGCTGCTGTGTTGAAATCTGTTTTTTTGGCAAATTAGGCCAACACATAGAAGTTAGAAAGACAAGTTGGTAAGACAATTAGTGCAATGGTGAGACCACTGAGACTCTGATCTACTCATACATTGAAGAAACATAGGATGAAAGACCATGCCTTGAATATTCAATATTAGGGCCATGCAGGCAGGAGTTCTGTGGAGTGAAAACTCTTCACTCTTACTAGTGGAAGCACATGTTCATGTGTAAATGGCTACTAGACAACCAAAACAATGGAGAACCACACTGCAACTAGTCCCAGCTGGCTCCTCATCTGGTAAAGCAAGTCTGAAGAAGCTTCCAGTTTTTAAAGGACAATACAGGACCTATAATTTCTGAAGAGAGCCCTATTTTCTCCAACTGATAGAAACTGAGGTGCTGCAAAAGGCTTTTCAATATTCTATCATTTGTGAAAGGTTTTAATCTTCAGCTGGAGTTTTGAATTCATTCAAGGTTTTGGTGAACCAGTTTGCAACCTACTATACTGGATAATTTTCAGTATATTGTGTATGCTTCCCTTAATATTGCCTTTTGTAAATGTCCAGGGTATCACCAAAAGAAACAACTACATTGAAAAATTTGGCATAAATGTTAACTTTTGGAAGTGTTTTACATCACAAGGGCTGTCAGTTTTCCTGCTTGGAGACAGATACTTCAGACCAATACTTCTAAGGATGAACTCAATGTATTCTTATTTTGCCCAGTCATGCAGGTTTTCTCATGACTTGTTATTTTGATTTGAAAAGTCTTTTCAAGACAGCCTTCATGTCTCAACAGAGATGGAAATATTATATTAAAGACCAGCCTAGGTATAGTGAACCATGCCTGGTGGCTGGGAAATCCACCAGAGGTATCTCACATTTCCCTCTTGCCTGTTTGTTGTATGAGTACAGTATGATACAATTTCAGCCTGTCAGAATCTTACAAAGATCAAAACGAATGCATGTGCTTGTGCGCATTTACAACACTGCCAGATTTTACACAGAGGGTAGAAGAGGAACTGAAAATGCAATGTCAGAATTTTGATATACAGGGCATGTCTGCCATGCGGGCAGTTGGAAAGAAAAAGACCAAAAATCTTGGGCTTGACTTTCATCCAAGTCTCATTTGGCAGCAATGTGTGGCTTCCATAGAGGCAGAGCAGAGACTGGAATCCACCACTTGACCAGGGTGACACTTGTTTACAAGAGCCAGCTCACAACTGCTATGAGAGCTAAGAGTTTCTTATGGTAATCAGAGGACCGCTTTAATTAAATGGTGTTTTTGCATGCTCCAAAATTACTTGAGCAGGCTTGCTATTCATTAGATCCATTACCAATGGTGTTACAGATTCCCTCATACCCCTCACAGTTGGTAGACTGCTGCTGCAGGAGGTGTGGCAGGAGAACATGGCTTTCTTTCAGCTCTATTAAAGGTTTTCCAAATTAGAATCAATGGAAGACACTTGAAAGAAAGATGGAGAGTTAATTTTTTTCCCCTTTTACTTCTTTTTTAAGCTTCAAGGTAGTAAGTGATAGATAAGCTATGCAAGGTATTAGAAATTTGGCACATCCCATCTACCACAACATATTGATTCCTTCTACAGAAGGCACTAAATACTGGCATAAACTAAGAAATGATCAGCAGAATGCAGTTTTAGTATGACACACAAAAATCCTGGCACAGCTTCATAGTACAATTTTCACTTTCCTAAAATGGTGGTGATTATAGCAGCAATGGTTAGGGTTTTTACAAGTACCACAAAAACATACAAATGTCAGAACATCTAGAACACATGCAAAATTTCAAGAGCAATATCACTGAATTACATAATGCATAGAGTTATTATTATTATTATTATTCAAGACAGTGTAATATTTTTAATAAACAAAAGTTTTTTTAAACCTACAAACAGTTTTGCAAACTGTTCTTAAAAAGAGTTGTTAAAGTCAGTGAGTAAGTGTTAACCTTTCAGTGCTTTAACAATGAATTGGTCACTATGGAGAATTCAGTTAGATGAAAATTTAGTTATACTTATGCAAAATATGTTTGCCAACTGCTGTTTTGGAAGAAACTGTGCTAATCTTGTCAATTTACAAAATGGCAAAAAATACATTTACATTAAAAGATTAGAAAGATTAAACATTGCATGCAGGGGAAGACTAAATCCTTGCGTTAGCTGTTTCTCCTAGCACTGCTCACCATGAGACTAAGGGTTGTCATAGCAAAAATGCTTTTCAAAAGCAGAGTTAAAGCCTGCAGATAATTGATACAAATGGAAAAGATTTTCTAATTCTGGTGTAAAACAAAGAAGGATATTAAAGGATAAGGATTACGCTTGCCTTCTTTAGAAAAAAGGACAAAAACTTCCATTGTGTTTGCCAGGCTTTTCCACTGCCTTTCCCCAGCTTTTCATTCACTTGGATATTCTGTCACTTCTTTTCTTCCAGTGTTGAGTAGTTTTTCTGCCTGGACAGGTCTTGAGATGAACCCTGAGATGGATGTGTCACATGGACAAAAACAAGCACTGACACACATCTATGGCCAAGTGATGTCCCCTCCTGCACCCCTCAGACTCATTTCCAGTACGGCTAGTCATGTTCTTGGGGGGAAAGTGCAGCAACAGCCCGAGCTTGGTGGAAGCAGAGGCAAGGGCACACACTTCTCACAGCACTCTGCAGAAATGGCACCAAATTCTCTCTGGCAGCAGCACCACCCAGATTGCAGGTACTGCCATAAATAGGTGCAAAATCAGGTTTGCACCATCTCCTCCCCTGACAGCTTTCAGATTTCATTAAGACATTTCATTTCACATTTTGTCTGCACATCTCTGAATGCCTCGGATACTTCTGCACTTGCATTTCACATCCATGTCCCCAGCCTTGTGCAGAGGAACTCAGTCTTTCAAGCTGCTCACAGAGAAAGCTCCTGAAGAAGGCCAAGCTTCCAAGATCTGAATCATAGGCACCAGGCAGAAAACAAAGGTCTCCACAAAGTGACCAACACTCCAGTCATTGTTCAGCGCACCTTTAGCCTTAGAGACACTAGGATATTTGTCTCCATACACAAAAGTTACTAGAAATCAATTTGAAGCCATTTATTATTGATCCTTGACTTCTATATCCACCACTGAAGACAGTCAGGCCATGTCTCCTGCATCACTTTTTTTTTCAGGATGGAAATTTACATATAGGAAGTGAATTAAATGTGTGATAGTAGAAGAGACAGAGGGATCCCAGTAGGAGCAATGTGGAGCAGACTATAAAGCTACACATGATCTAGGCCAGCTGAGAACACGCTATAATGGTAACAAGGGCAGATTACAACTCAGTAAGATTACAACTTTCAGAAAGCAGATCAAATTCTAGGCATGAGGAATGTCAAAGAGTTTTATTTGTTCATAAAAAAAAAGAAAAAAAGAAAACCAGCTGAAGTGGCAAAGATAGTATCTGTTAAATTAATTAATTGCATTTAGTCTTCTATATTGTCCTAAACATTTTGCATTTTCTTGATGATTTTTCTTTCACTTGACTGTTATTTTCTTGACACTAAGAGACTGCATCAAACAGTAGTAACCAAAAAGAAATCACTAATCAATTCCTACAGCTTTGTTTAAAAGAGCTTAACACCTCATTCCAACTGAAACTACCCCACTGAATTTCAAAGATAGCACCTACCTTACCAGTGCCTTAAATGCTGTGAAAGAAACCTCTTTTAATTACAAAAGATCAGATTGAAATCTGAAATGGTACTGTCTTTTCAGATAGTGATAAGTGCTGTCTAATGAATATTGAGCACAAGAACAAAAGATTAGACAAAACCATCCTAGTGTCTTTGAAACAGTTAAGTCCATCCTTTAATGCACAAACAACTCATATAGTGGCATTTGTATAATAAAATAAATTGAATTTAGTATGCATTACCAGATGCACTACCATTAACCAATTGAGTGAGAATACAGAAGAAATAAATTAATTTCTTGAGACAGAAATCCATCTGTTCATGTAACAAGAAAATTTTGTGGCAAACTCATATTTTCCCACATCTGTTTAGGAATTAAAGCTTTAGATATCACCACTGCTTCAAATACGTTCCACTTGGGAGGATAGCGTCAAACTTTTCCACAAACTCAGAGGTGTCTCTGGGCAGTGGGGCTTCACAGCTTTGCAGGATTTTGTCACTGTAAATGCCTCTCTGCTGCTTCCAGGAAGAGTCAAGGTGCTGGAGAACAATGGCAGCAGACCTTCGCAGGCATCAGCCACAGTGCAGCGGGGAGGAACAGGCTGGAACCTGGTTTGCAGGAGTGCAGCTGGAAGCAGTGCAACCATGCAACTCACCGGGGCTCAGAGAACGTGGATGTGTCCTCGGAAGGGCCATTCCTCCACCGGCTGTGGTTATGCTCCTGTGAAAGAGGTGGAGCATTGATGTCCCTGGGGGCTCTTAGCCTTCCAAAACCCTTGAAGAGATCAAGCACAGCCTCATGTGTTTTTCGCATGCTGTTCTTTGGAAAATATCATCATTTAATTGTACTTAAGGCCTTCTCCCTTTGCTTGCAGATGCCCAGCTGATAGGGATGTCCTTGAAAAGCTGCCCTTGGGCTCTCTGTTTTCGGAGAATCGTGCTGCGACCTTCATGTTGGCTCTGCACAGAGCAAACACACAGCTGGAAAACACCAGCTATTATGGTGTCCACAACCACCAAGACATGGCTCAGCACATGGGGTCCATCACCAGAAAGTGCATTACCAAGTTTCTGGCTAGGAATACAGCCATACTTTACAATGGATGGTCTCCTCTCTCCACTGTTCCTCAGCACTGAGTGCACATTCAGCACATGCAGGAAAGCAGAGAAATAAGAGAAAATACATCCTACCTCTTAAAAACAAGGAGAGCAAAGAAGCCATCTCTCCATGGTGACATTTAGCAAAGAACCCTCATTAAAGAGTAGATCCATTTCCTGCCATGTTTCATAGTGAGAAGTCTTTCTCTGCACTAACCCAGAGGGATGAATTGGTTCATTTCAGGCAAATACAATGACAAATCTGCATCCTGCAGATTCTCTTTTTTAACACACGTTCATGCTGCCTCTGGAAATTTGGGGAGCCGGATGTGTCCCAATGTCCTGTTGTTTGCACCATGAGCTGAATTCCTCTCCATGACAGAGGGAGCCCAAAAGTTGCATACTGTTGAGGACCAGTCATCTCAGTGCTATTTGCCAGTCCATTATGTCAGCGGAGGGCTACACAACACACAGACATGAGCCTGGTCCTCCACATAGGAGGAGTCATGTCAAGTCATTTCATGACTTGAAAGCCTCTCACAAAAAGCAGAAGAGGGAAGGAGAGTGCTTCCCTCACATGCGAGATGCGAGCCTCCAGAGTGCTCCCACACAGTATCCCACAACTCCACATATCCCATGCGAGGTGGGCTGCCCTGAGCACGTTATCCCCAAAGCACAAGGTCACTTGATGGGCAGAGCTCCCAGCCAAGAGCAGCCCTGTACACAGCGGTCCCCCTGCCCCACAGTGCAGACACCAGGAAGGAGGAATATTTGAGGATCAGAAAGGTGAGAGGAGTGGAGCTGTTGGGGTTGGGGAAGACCAGTCAATCACAATCATTTCCAGCTAACTGCAAGATGGAATGATCAGCCCATGCACCACACGTGCTAGTCAGGTCAGTCAATTCACTTATGGGAGGTACACAGACATGATGACAAGAAACGGTAAAATATGAGCTGAACAGGAAGAAACCTAGTGCAACAGGAATCTCATTTTCCTTAAGGCTGTCTTGGTCCTTAGGGCAGCCTGGGCTCTAGAGTGACACAGCACCTGCTCCTTCTGATCCCCATCTTACCACCCCACATCACTTGCACAAACAGCAGAACAAGATTTGGTCACAAACATCTAAGACATGGACACTTAACAGTACAACATTGCTTGTGTGTCACTCTCTACACAGCTTTCAAAGAGGGTAACAATATTGTAGAGACTGAGTATCAGACATAGTCACTTCTAAAAAGAGCTTGAAAGTGTTGATACTCTTCATAAAGGAGAACGTGCAACAGGGACACAGATTCCATTGTTAGATTATCCTCTATGTCAGTAGCCCTGATGCTGCTATTATAGAATTATTGCATTATGCAAGTGAACAAGGTATATGCTGTTATTTTAGATATCCCTTGGAATTTAGTTTACAATGTAGTTCATGACAGTATTTCATTCTCCTGCACTTAAAAATACATTTTGTTGCATAAATACATTTTTGAAAATAAAACAGGCAGTTTGTGACACCCAGGCAGCACAGACTTCAGTTTCAACTAACTGCACAAAGATGCAACATTGTGCAAAACCACACCACCATAAATACATGCATGGATGACTAAAAAACCAGAGCTTACACCGTCCAAAGTGTCCACAGCTCTGCCCATCTACATGTGCAATCATGCGGACAGATCCAAATGCATGTATTGTGCACTACTGCATCCAGATTAGTCCAGTGACATCCACATATAATCCCCATGTTTGACTCTTATTGTGGTGTCCTGAGAAGGCCATGTGGGAAAGTCAGCACTAACATTAGTGCAGACCCCTTTGCACTGTGTAGGCCTGTGCTTTGGCACTCAGCCTCTTAAGTTCAAGGCCAAATTTTGCTCTTGGTAGCACTGAGCAAATCTCCCAAAAGCCAGTAGATAATTCTGAAGGCATCTAATACATCTACAAATGATTCAGCAGGGTCTGAATCTGCATTATCCTTTTGATATGTTTCTAATGGGATGCAGTAGCTCAGCCAGGCTAATGACTCTGTGATGCTGGTAGACGAACACCATCCTCTGTCTCCCTGATGGGGTCTGCACCTCAGTTTTTATAGGAGATTCAGCTCAGTACATTGGCAGAATGTACCTTTTTTTGCTGTCTTTTCTGCTGGGGAGCTGAGTTGAAATCACTCACTGACAAGGTCTAACATCAAGTTGAAGAAAGGTGAGTCCTTAAAAAAATGAAGGAAAAGGAGGAAAAAGAATGGAGAAAAGCAAGCCCCATTTTGGAGCCAGCTAACCTCATCTTAAGGAAATCACAGCCTCACTGCTTCCACAGAAGCTCAGCTTTTACATCGGAGTATGATGTAGTCAGGAGTGCAGCCACCCACCTGCAGTACCTCACTGTAACCACTGCACCCAATCACCATCATACAGACTGTGCTGGACAGGAGCAGGACAGTGTTTTGCCAGCTGCCCTTGAGTTCATGGTAAGAGGTGCTCAGTAACAAAAGCCAAGGCTGGAGACCACAGTTCTTCGTTCAGCCAGAGGGACAGGATGTTAAGACTCGGCAGCATTAGTCCGTGGCTACACTGCTGTATCTTAGCACCAGGGAGGGTGCACACCATTGCTATGAGCTTGCAACTTGCTGCCAAAGCAGGCATGAAACCCTCAGTCAAAATTGCAAATCACTGAGTTGTCCTCTCTCACCTAAAATAACAAGATCTACATGTACTCTCCTACCAGTATTAGACAAAATCATGAGAGTAACTTAAACCCAAAGTCCCTCTCCCAGACAGTTAATAACCTTTCACAGTCTTAATACAAATGGCAATTAGACTAACTGTTGTCACTCAATTCCTTTAACTGTGCACAAATAAGACTAAATAATAGGTTATATTAAATGCCCTTCAAAACTAGTAAGTTTATTTTTGTACTATATTACATGGGTATCATATTCTGTTCATATTACTATTCTGTCCATTAACTTCTTCAGGATAGTCAGCATGGATTTACTAAAAGTAATCCCAGAGCAAGAGTGGTCTTGCAAAACTGCTTTTCACTGTATCATACTAAAAGCACTGCTGTGAAAAGGCAAGGCAGTACAAACAGCAATCAGATATCTGGCCTCATCTAGAAATTGGGCAGCTGTCTTTCTGCCTTCACCTGAAATCTCTCTGTGCTTCTGTCTCCTCCACCAACAAGTCAGATATGCCATGGCACTGAATGTCACAGACACAGCTTGCAATCACTTCAGCAGAGTTATACTTTGGCCTCATGTCCCAAAGCCAAGTTACAAAAGGAGGTCTCTATAATATGAACAACTGCTTGTACCCACCAATCCACTGCCTACCCTGAGAGACAGCGGATGGTAAATGGAAGACTGTAGAACTGGTGGCTACACTACCATGGAGTGTCAGACACAGGAAACCAGACCTTTTACCAGGCTTGCTACATGTGGAAAAAAAAAGAGATCACAGCCAGGTTGTGTCCCCTGCATAAAGCTTCCTGGGAGGACAGGTATTTATTATAGTAGAAATCTCTGCCCTTAGGCTTTTCAGTGCCACATCTGCTACCTATTTCATCCCCAAAACATACCTTCAGTAAGGCTTAAGTGAGGTGCAGACACTCTGCCACCTCCTTCTCACACAGGAACATGTCATCCTAGGAACACAGAAAAAAAGTTTATAGGTGCTAGGTGAGTTACTTCTATTTCTATTTGCTACCTTTCTTTTACCTCTTCTTTGGAATTAGTGATGATTAAAGTCATTGCACAGTTGCAGATCTAAAGAATTTGAAGGATATACAGGAATGTGAACAAATACAGACAAACGAGCATAAAGAAACTAAACTATTAAAAATTGCTAAACAAGAAAGCCTCTCCAAAGGCTGTTTGGTCCAGCCAGAATAATACCCAGCAGAAGTCAGCCAAGGTTGTCTTTCATTGACTTCAGCAGGAACTCAATTACCCCAGCAGACTTTTCTAAAGCCTCACCACAGCCCTAGCATGTCCTTGAGGAACTTACACTAAGTTTATTTACTTGAAAAGTATTGTTCCTAATTTTAAGTGTCAAGAATTATAATTGTTCACTGAAATAGTGAATTTGATAGTGTTTTTCCCATACTTGTAGTAGAACAACTACATTAAAAAGGAGAACAGTAGAAGTTGTTATTTCAAGGCTTTAAGGTCCAAATTCTACCTTCAGATTCACGCATTTTCCATTGTCTGCAATGGAAACAGATGATGTATAGCTAAGTTAAACTGGTATTCCAGCACTTAAAACTATCCAGCTTTTTACCTCTCTGTAGAATTTCTTTAAAAATTTCTGTAGAAATATCATTACACTCTCTATTGTTTTGTGGATTTCAAATGATGGCTTAAGACATAGTTGATGTCATTTTTCTGTACAGCTGGGATAAGACTGCAGATTTTTCTGTACTGTTTGTTTTCCCAGAATACTGAAAGAGTGCTCTATGTCAACAGATTTTACATTACATACACACATTGATAAAATACTAACAACCTATAGTTAAAGAGGTGAAATTATGTGTGACAATGGTTTTCCCATTATACTTTTGCATATTGTTGAAAAGAGTACTTTTTAGCCTAAACACCAGCAACATTTTGATCCTAGAAAATCGACATACCCAAAAGTTTAAAATGGCATTTAGCTGACTTCAGGATTTTTGTAGTGTAAATGAGCCTCAGGAAACATAATAAAAACAGACAAAAATGCTGTAAATGGTTTTGTGAACTTACATTGATGCATTTCTTATTTCTTGGTCTTGCTGATCAAGAATAAACTAGCAGGTAAGAAGCAGCAGCCAATGTTAAGTTTGTCTCCTCCACTGTGGGAGGTCATGTTACAATACTAAGTTGAAAAAATGCTTTAGAACAGAATCACTATGTAAGCCTCCCTGGGGATTTACACTCATTAATGTGTGCATGTTAAAAATGGTATTTTCAGTCTATCTTGTGTTGCCTGAGAACCATTTCTATCCTTTTAAAATCTGCATTTGTATTATAACCCATAAGTACCTTTCATTTTTGCATTAGCACTATAAATACTGTTAGTAATACTAAACTATTTCTGTTGACTTATTTGTAGAAAGAAAAATATATTATATGTTTATATATTCTTATAAAGTTAATTAACACTGGAGAGAGGGCTGAGAGGGGGAATAGTGTACAATCACAGCTGATGTGTATTATTGAGCACAAATTCAATGCCTGAAACAAAAAGGTAAAGAGAAAAGTGTTTGGTGTTCTTTCAAGCAGTGTCAGATGACGAGTCATAGGATGCTGACACTATGAAGTTGCCAGTATTAGAGTGACTTGCCATGGACTGGGCAGCTTGCTGGCTCAAGTTATTGCAGATCAGCACCAGCTGGTTGCTCTGAGCTTCTGAGAGGGTGCTGCAGCTCTGGTAGACACTGAAGTTGGTCTTGCGGCCAGGGATGTTCCCTTTCTCACACATTGTCTTCACCATCTTGGCAAGCTTGTTTTTCCCCAGGGCTTGGCAGTTGTACCAGTGAAGTGCAGCCAAGTTGACAACGGGTTTGATGGACAGGTAAAAAGGCGCATCCTCGTAGCGCATGGCCGGAGGGCGGCGCTGGGCGTACTCCTTGTAGTCCTGCACGGGGCAGGTCTGCGGGGAGTGCTGGGTGGCGTACACTCGCGAGTCCGTCCCGCCTCTCTTGCTCTTGGCACTCGCATCCCCGTTGTCTGGCCCCATCCACTCCAGGTACTCCAACCCAGTCTCTGTCACTCGCAACCGGATGTCTCCCCACTTGAGGGTGGACCCGTGGAAACCTGTGCAGTGTCCAAATGCCTTAGTGTTGTTCAGCCACACTAGGTTCAGAAGCCCTTCAGGATTGTACCTGCTCAATAAGCCTCTTTTGCGCAGGATAAGCTCATCAGCAAAGGTAAGCTTCATGGATTTGTGTGGCTTGTTTCCTTTGCCTTTACACCTCAGCTCTATCTGCTTTTGCTTTAGAGCTTCCTGGGACCTCTTGAACTCCTTATCCCTTGTAATACTGTATCCATACCTGTGCTCTTTGAGATACCGCTCCAGTCCACACTGATAGTTGGCCAGACTGTTTGGCTCATATTCAGACCCATCCTTTTGTCTGGCATCCACAAAGAAGGATGCAAGATAGGCATCAAGCTCTTTGCAGGGGATGACATAGATCTCACGGGTCTCAGAGGGGTACTTGGAAATGAGGAATTCTCGGAAATTGCGGAGAGCAGTCTGTGTGCTTCGAATGGTCTTCTCATTCTGCTCCCTGCTGAGCTCTGCTGCTCTCTCATCCTGGTCTGGAAGAGGAAGAATGGGACAGAAAAGAGAAAGTAGAAGCAGTGAGTTTATGTGATGCGCTTTTCCCTAAAACAAATTTCCTCAAAAAGGAAAGAACTCAAAATCAAATTCACAAAGAGCAGTGGTAAGCATCTTTACATACCTGTCACATGACTGAAAAGCCAACTTCAGTTTAACAAATGACATACTATATGATACAAAACTAAGTGAGCTCCTCATGACACTGGGGCACAGTTTTGTGCATGGACATTTATGAAAAGCACTGAGATTAAAGGCAATAGGCTTTTTACAACTAGGCAAAGTGGAAGGATTTTCTGTGGATCCCAATGTTGTGTGCAAGGCCCAGACTCAGGAATAAGCCCACTTTGAATTGTTTCATTTGTGAAATGAGAAGGTGTACTGGTTACATGTTTTTTCCCTAGGAAAAAAAAAAAAGGAGCTAAAGCATCATATTTATGATTGTAATACTTATCTTTAATCAGATACATTTTTAAAGAGTGAAATAAATATAGCCAGATGAACAGTACAAAATAAGGCAGCACATCCAAGAGAAATGGCAGGTAAAATTACTACAGAACAATGTGCAATTTACAAATGTACAAGAATAAAGAAAATATAGTCAATATGTTCACATCAGAAAACATGGAAAAAACCCATGATTACACAGCCTCTCTATGTCATCAAACTGTATCTTGACAGAACAAGTACAATTGTCTTTTCATTTTGCAGAAAAATCAAATTGTAGGAACAATTTTATATTTAACAGGCTATCCTCATAGATCCTTACAATCAACAACATATCAAAACACAATATTCAGATGCTACTACTATGATAGCTGTTACTGACAGCTGATTTTCTGGCTGATCTTAAGAGAAGCATAAAAAGGAAAAGCTTTAAAGCTATGGATATTTTTAAGGACGGTTTTCTTGGCATGTGCAAACTGTCAGTTTGAACAAGAATGGAGCTCAAAGCATACAGGTGGAATTCTGAATGTGATAAATCTTAATGGTTTTAGAAAATTAAAAACAAATGCAAAGAAGGAAAAATTCAATTATTTAAATATTTTCTGGAATTGTATGTAGAACACTTTTGTCTCTCTTCCACTTAACAAGCAGAAGAGGGGAAAAACTCCAAGCTCTTTTCTATTTGATCTCATTGCAAAACCCATACATTCTGCCATCCTTTTAGCAGTGTCAGAGCAGGTGTCTCCCACCCAAGATACACACACGAAGTGATATGAGACCAGGTGAAGTTCCCATTGCCTCTCTGCCAATCAGGTCAAGCTTATGTCAGGCTGTGTAGCACACCCATGACTTAGCACCAGCATTTAGACACTGGTTGCAAAGCCATGGATGTGCTACATGCAAGCCTATTAGCAGGGGAGAGGGCAGCAGGGAAAGGAAGGCAGACTCTCCTTCCCTATCCCACCTGCAGTGTTCCATGTGGTGCAGAAACACTGGTGCAGAGCTGGGCAGCTTCTCCTTCCACCAATCTACAGAGTGCCTCTCAGGAAAGTTCACCCCATCACCTCCATACCACATCTGCAGAGAGAGGCACAGGGAATGACTTGCCCCAGGACTTCCCAGCAGGACAGAAGCAGGACTGAGCTTATAACCCTCATGATCAGGCCCTGTGTCTTCAGAGAGAGGCATCCTGCATCCACACCACTCACCCACTGAGAGGGGTTTCTCAAATACTCTGCAAAGCACAGAGAAGTGAGCATCTGCAACTGAGGCCTTTGGGGGCTTCTGCAGGCAGGAGAAAATGCTGCTACAAAGGACTGAGGTTTGCTTGAGCTGTGCTCCAGGGGAGCAAGAAAGGTCACCTGCCTGATTCAGAAACTCATTTTAATACTGATGTCAGTATCAAAAAGCTCTTCAAAGCCTACAGTGAAGCCTCATGCTCTAGGCAGTGTACATAATAGATCCTTTTAGTGTGGCTAGATGTAGGCTGAAAAAAAAAGACAGCCCTGTTCAAAGCTCCAAAACAAACATTTATTCTGGTATTTTGTTCACTGCACCCACCACCCCTTGTTATAGAACTGTGTAAGTAATGATTGCTTTGACTGACAGCCCACATCCTAAGTTCTATTTCAATATAAACAGCACATATAATGGCTCAGTTTTATAAATGTCATCAATCACTTCTTCTTAGAGGATAGCCTGTCACAACACAGCAGTGACACCCAGTCAGTCATTTATGTTACAGCATCTTTCCTCAATCTGCAAAGGAAATTGCCCTATCTGCAGCAAACAATTATAAAACCCATGCTGAATTAAAGATTCCCCCAACTTACATTACGAAAACAGTACCCCAGAAACACTGCTTTCCTGCACTGTTTGTTGTGAGCTACTTCACATGGCAGGTGGGAAACATTAAAAAAGAATGGGTCAGGTTATCCTGCAGCCACATCAGGAGAGCTACCTCTATTTTGGTGAATCCAGGCTGAAGTAGTAGTAATGGATTATTCGCCTCCTACAAGACCACTCAAATATTGGTGGGGTATCATGTAGCATGGCATGAATGTGGGGAGTTTCCCATGTAACAGTTCCCAGATGTTTGCTTTGTCTCACTTTGCTGATCTTGCTGAATAGAGACCAAAGCTCTTTTTAACATTGTGTGGAGCTGGTAGAAACTACTGGGAACACTGGTGGGAGTCTACACTATTTCCTTGACTGCTGCAATCAGAAGATTATTTGCTCTTGAACTTGAAATACTCAGTGTATCATCAAGTCTTCAGTATCCATGGGTTCCAAAACTGGGTAAAAGCACAGAAAAAAAAGTCACCAAGTCCTCCTAGAAAACACCTCTATATCAGAACATCCCCAAGCTGTAAACTGATGTGGGATAGAAGAACAGGGAGGCGTTATATATGCTTCCACCTTTCTTACAGTCTTCTGTATGTCTCCGTTGTAAGGCTTGAGGAATACAAATACTCTTGTGTTACGGTCTTATTTCTCTCAGCTTGTTGGTCGGAACCAATCAACCAAGAATTACTGTCATCATTGATCTATGAAGCCAAGCTACCCTTACTGTCTTTTCCTTGTCATAATGCAGTCTTTGGAACTGGTAGTACTGTTACCCCTGTTTTACAGATCACAAGCAGAAGCATAAAAAAATAGTGGAGATACATTTCCTGAGGTCCTGCCCCCTCAGCTGCATCACTGCACAAAGGACCTGGTTATGGGTCTTGTGTTTCTTACCATATCCCACACCACAGCTTCATTTCCAAGAAAACAAGAGTGTGGCAGAAAAAGACAGTAAAACCCACCTTACTGGGGGGTCCAGGGTAAACTCCCAACTATGAGCTTGAAAGGTGATGAGTACTTAAGATGTTCTAGTTCAAATGAAGTGAAAGAGATAAAGTGACCAGGCAGAGATTAAACAGAAAACCTAGTGGGAGCAGATGTCCCAGGCTAGCCCATGACCATCGGATGACCTCTCCCACAGAGGAACAGCTGTTTTCTGATCTTTTCATAATCTGATCTTAACACAGCCAAGACCTAATATTATCAACAGAGTTATCAAACTCAGGCTTGTTTTAATTTCAGCTCACACACATACACACACTTGGACTCCTTGGAAAGGACGTAACCTCTGTAATTACATATGGCAGGAGGAAAGGCACTTGCTTTCATGACAGACAGATACAGATTGTTAATGTTCAGAGAGCATTCGCACATCAGTGGGAGTCACAAACCTGAGCTATTATTGCAAAAAGTCTTAAACTCCGCATATGGTAAGCAGTGAGATCTCACAGATGTACATTAAAAGTAAGGTGGGTTTTCTTGGTGGTAATCACATCACCAGCTGAGTCTTCTCTGCCAAATTTTTGTCCTGTCTAGGAAAATGCCTCTGCAGCAGGCCTGCTTCCACCAATATGCTTTCATTCAAGTGAAAAAGCATAGTTAACCACACACAAAGCACCACATATCTCTATTCTGGAGCGAAGTGCCCTCTCTCCACTCCCCAGCTCCTTGCAGATTGGCTCTTGCCCCTCTTTTTTGCAGTTTTGCAGTTACTGAAAAATAATGATATCCAGCCTTTGGGCCGTGGCAATACACAGCCCATTAAAACAGCTAAGTAAACCACAGCCTACTCCTACCATTTTCTCCAGTCCCCTCCTGTTTCAAGAAGGAATCTATAGGCAAACAGCACTCTCAAATCTACAGTCTCAGTGAGCAGAGGTCACGCTGTTGTACGAGGCAGTTATGGTCAAGTCACATGGGGAACAGCTGCATGAGCCTCTGACAAATGTGTCCCCCTGGAAGCCATGCTACTGCTGCCCTGTCAGCACCAGCTGAATGCCACTGTCATACCACAGCCTCCCAGAATATTAGTACTTGTTCTGCATGCCAAACTTAGAAAGCTGACAGCTGGTTTTCACCATATCACAAGAATAAACCAGTGAATACCATTCTCATGTCTTGCTGCCAAAAATGGGGGTGAGGGTAAGAGCAGAAGGTGTCCACAGCAGAAGTGCCTCTAAACACTTGTAGAAACATCCTGAGATTAAGTAGAAGAAACTGCTTCTGTATTTTTTCTTGAATGTCTGCCCTACCCCTCTGATGTTGCTACTAAATTCTGTTTAACAGTTAAAGTTTCCCTGTTCGCACTATATTAAGTTAAACTCCATTTTAACATTTAAAATGTTAAACTCTATTTTAACATTTTCAGAAAAGGCTTTCATTGGCATGTAAAGTCTGTCATATTAGAGAATTAATTAATATCCACTTATGAAAGACACTACGTTTTTGGCCCAAAAAATTATACTTCTCTTCAGTTAGCCTGCTCCAATGAAACTATCTGCAAAATGTTTTATGATTCTAAAATGATAAAGCTTTAGATTATATCAAAGGAAAAAGGACATGGACTGCAAACAAATGAGTATGTGAATATTTATTCATAGGTATTTCCATGAAGTAAAGTCACTAAAATAGGCTTTAGTCACCTGTACATTTTTTGCAAAGTATAGAATGGCCTGATAATGAATGCTCA